CACACACACACACACACACACCAACACACACACACACACACCACCACACACACAACAGAACACACACAGGCACACACACACACACAGCACAGTCACACACACACACAGCAAAGATTAGACGTAGGCCGCGTACCAAGGGAGAGGCCTTATCAGGAAAAAGCTCCCCATGAGCCCGCCAGGCCGGGCGTGTGGTGTACATTAGTAGGTTATAGAGTCACCTTGTCACCACTAGTCGGTTAACATATCAGCAAAGTTTACAGATGACACTCCCTTATAGTATTTCGGTATTACGTTAGTTCTACATGTATTGGCTTGTATTTCAATATTCACTACTTTCATGGGCATTGTAGCAGTCTAAACTGGGCTTCGGTTGTCGCTCCAATGTTGTGTGCTGTAGTGCAAAGTTACTGTTTCATATGTTAACCAAAAGAGGTACACATGTCTTTGAAGTACTGTAAGACATAGAGGTGTCCTGTACTCTACCGTCCGGCGGAGGACGATATAAGCGAATAAAAATGTTTACTATTTTATGCACTGCACAAGAATGGACAACGTGTTCAGTCCCGGGGAAAAACGGTGGTCCCGTCTCTGTCACAGGGGCAGACCCCAGTGCAGTCCAGCGCCCGCGTCCTCGTCTCTGGGAGTGTCGGACCTGGTACCTCTGGGACCCCTGTGAGACCCACTTGGTTGTCCCCTTAAGTATCACCATTGATGTAACATATTGTCGCACACAAGGGTTCAGAAACACTCGTTTGAGTTTATGATTAAATGTAATTATGTTCAGTCGTAAGGTGGGTAAGTGTGTGTAAGCTAGTCCTCCGTCCCCCGAACGGTAAGTTCCACCAGGTTAGTTTGTGAAAGGCGTATACACAATTCATAATCATTACGTCATCGACCCCTATGGTTGGCTAGGTTGGAAGTCTAACCTCCTGTTGGGTGTATAGTTGTCGAGATTGCAGAGTTTATTAGATTAATATAATTTTACGTTTAGTCTTTTACGTTTTAAGTTAATGACATAAGTTAAAAACCCCCCCCCACTTAGTTGTCTAAAAATAAAACAATCATTATACATAAAATATTTATGTGAATTTAATGTAAAATTATAACTTTATGAAATAAAAAGTGTATAGAACAACGGGTGTAACCATTAAGGTAAAAAAGAACAAAAAGAACGAAACTAAGCCCCGAAACATCTCCATCCCAGTCGCCTCCCTACTCTTCACCGCACCGCATCGTTTTTGTCCCACCTGGTCCCTTCTCCACGCCACTTATATCCAACCCACAATAGTACCCCGCCTTTGGGTTTTATGCCCGTTTCCGTTTCTACTCTCCATGCCACGGCCGCCGAGCGCTGCAGCTGCGCCGCGTGGCTTGTCCATTTAGCCCCAGTAGTATCCTTTCACCTCTTAACAGCGAAAGACAGGGCCGTGGCGCCAGTTAACCTATTGTTCGTAGGTAAGGCCGTCTGCGCAAGGGGTACTTGCGGACCAGACGTGAGTCGTGTGACGCAGCGGCGAGGGGAAGTAACGTCCTCCCCGAGCGCAAGAGGTCAAGTCCTGTGTGCCGGGACTGACCACCGGTGAAGTAGGCGTCTGACGGGACTACGTAAGACCCCCTACTTCACGGTCAGTCAGACACGGACCTGACACTTCTTGGCCTCCCGCGGAGGAGCGTTATTCGCTCTCGCCTCACACACCTCACGTCTGCGGTCCGAAGTTACCCCTTCGGAGACGGTCTTTACCACTCCGACAATAGGTTACTCCACGTTCTTTCCTTTAATAAAATATACTCTAAATACAAGAAGATAAACGGTCGGTATAAATAACAAGACGGCATAAAACTCAAAGTACTGTTTATATCAAGTGTGAAAACAGGTGAACAAAAATTTAAAAGGGTGGGGGGGCTGGGGGGTAAGGTCCGATTAATTTAGATGTTTCCGCGTTATGTTCGTTCTTTGTGTTCTTTTTTACTTATGTTTACCCCGGGGTTTTACTACTATACCATTTTATTTCATAGTAAGTAATAATTTTTACATCATAAATTTCATCATACAATGAGTTTTATTATAATGAATGTTTTATTTTTAGACATTACCTAGGGTTTTAACTTATTTGAACTGTAACTTACCAAAACGTAAAATGGACTAAACGTAAATTATATTAATCTAATAAACTCTCAACTTCGACAACTATACACCCAACAGGAGCCGTTAGAACTTCCAACCACCAAACCTAGGGGTCGGTGGACGTTAATGATAATCGAATTCGTGTATACGCTTTCACAAACTAACCTGCGTCGGAACTTACCGTCCGGGGACGGAGACATACTTACACACACTTACCCGACTTTACGACTGAACCATTAATACATTTAATCAAACTCAAACAGGTGTTTCTGACCCTTTGTGACATATTTACATCAAATGGTGACTACTAAGGGACAAACCAAGGTGGTCTCACATGGGGGTCCAGAGGTACCAGTTCCGACACTCCCAGACGGACCGAGGACGGGGGGGGCTCGTGACTGACACTGGGGCGTCTGCCCTCGTGACAGCAGACGGGGACGACCGGTTTTTCTCCGGGACTGACACCGTTAGTCGCATTCCTTGTCAGTCGTATAAAAGTACATTTTTACTTGCTTATATCGTCCCCGGGAGGGTGAGACGGACACCCTATGTTCTTTACATACGTTCAAAGATGGTGTACCTCTTTGTTTTAATATAATACAGTAGACTTTGACATTACACAACATTGCGGGAGGACAACCGAACGCCCAGTTTAGACTCGAGCTAAATGATGAAAGGTAGGTTAATATTGAAATAACCAAAAATCCGTAAACTAACGTAATTCCGAAATACTATAGCGGGTGTCATCTGTAAACTGTGTATATGTGGTAACGAGCTAGTGGTGAAAGTCGACTTATCATACCTACTAAATGTACCAAAGGCCTGGCGGTATACTTTTCCTTTAATCATTGGTAGGGCCTACGTCTATTTTGTGTGTGTGTGTGTGTGTCGGGTGTGTGTGTGTGTGGTGTGTGCTCGTGTGGTGTGTGGTCGTGTGTGTGTCGTGTCGTGTGTGTGTGTCGTGTGTGTCGGTGTGTGTGTGTTGTCGTGTCGTGTGTGTGCTTTTTTTTTTTTTGGTGGTGTGTGTGTGTTTGTGTGTGTGTGTGTGTGTGTGTGTGTCTTGTTAAACTGTGTAAAGGGCGAGAATACACGGGTAGGGGGGTGTACCTAGTGTGGACCGTGTGCGTTATGTACAAGTCACAGATAAGAAACATATAAATGACGTCAAAAAGTACATATGGACATCAGTGCTTGTGGTTTCATTCCCTCCGCCCCACCCTTGTTTCTGTTATCCTCCCAATTCTTTTTCCTTTTACATCAACTTTTTATTTATTTTTTTATATAGAGACTGACGTACTACACGACTAGAAGAGTCGCACACTTAGACCAATGACCCCGGGTCCCACGCACTTGTGTACGCTCACGTCTCTCTAGGGACTCTCGACGCTGGGCCAGTCGCCCGTCACACACACACTCCGCCCGAAGTGGCCTCTGGTGACACTCTTCTCACTCACCTGGAGAATTTATGGAGTCTCAAAGTGGAAAATCATTTGTGATGGTGGTACCCCACTGACGACGAATATTGAATAAAATTTGAGTAAATGTTAGGACTGTTATAAACATATCCATCAAATAAAGTCAGTAAAAACGTGAAAAAGATTCCTGAACCTTATATGACTTATGTTTCTCTAAATTTATCAAATCTTTTTGGAAGACGTACATTGAAATCCTTGATATAATTCGTAGTCTAATGTTGTGTCCTGTAAGTCAATATCATACATAAGTACATACATAATCAAAGATTGATCTAATCTAATCTATAAGAATATTGTGGTATAATCGACCGTAATTTGTGCCCATTGTTTATTTATTTATTTATTTTCTTTGTTCGTCTTGTAATTGTGTACCGTTGTCATCTTCTCTATACATAGTTATCTTATGTATGGTTTTACTCAATCAATCTTACGTAAATTTATATGTTACCAAGATTACTTTGGTTTATGTATGTGTCCTTTGATATTTGTAATACATATATGGTATTTGTTACGTCACTTCATTACACTCAGGTTATACACTTTTAACAAGTCCCAATAACTACACACACACACACACACACACAGAACAATTTGACACATTTCCCGCTCTTATGTGCCCATCCCCCCACATGGATCACACCTGGCACACGCAATACATGTTCAGTGTCTATTCTTTGTATATTTACTGCAGTTTTTCATGTATACCTGTAGTCACGAACACCAAAGTAAGGGAGGCGGGGTGGGAACAAAGACAATAGGAGGGTTAAGAAAAAGGAAAATGTAGTTGAAAAATAAATAAAAAAATATATCTCTGACTGCATGATGTGCTGATCTTCTCAGCGTGTGAATCTGGTTACTGGGGCCCAGGGTGCGTGAACACATGCGAGTGCAGAGAGATCCCTGAGAGCTGCGACCCGGTCAGCGGGCAGTGTGTGTGTGAGGCGGGCTTCACCGGAGACCACTGTGAGAAGAGTGAGTGGACCTCTTAAATACCTCAGAGTTTCACCTTTTAGTAAACACTACCACCATGGGGTGACTGCTGCTTATAACTTATTTTAAACTCATTTACAATCCTGACAATATTTGTATAGGTAGTTTATTTCAGTCATTTTTGCACTTTTTCTAAGGACTTGGAATATACTGAATACAAAGAGATTTAAATAGTTTAGAAAAACCTTCTGCATGTAACTTTAGGAACTATATTAAGCATCAGATTACAACACAGGACATTCAGTTATAGTATGTATTCATGTATGTATTAGTTTCTAACTAGATTAGATTAGATATTCTTATAACACCATATTAGCTGGCATTAAACACGGGTAACAAATAAATAAATAAATAAAAGAAACAAGCAGAACATTAACACATGGCAACAGTAGAAGAGATATGTATCAATAGAATACATACCAAAATGAGTTAGTTAGAATGCATTTAAATATACAATGGTTCTAATGAAACCAAATACATACACAGGAAACTATAAACATTATGTATATACCATAAACAATGCAGTGAAGTAATGTGAGTCCAATATGTGAAAATTGTTCAGGGTTATTGAAAAGGAATTAAAGACACCAAAGCTGAGACAAAGACTGAATATGACGCTGGCTACCTTTGGTTTAAAGTTTAGGATTTAAGACATTGTTTTGCCAAACCTCTCCTTATCTGATGTTTTCCCTGATGTTCTCCTGTCAGAGTGTGTGAATGGCAGTTTTGGGCGGGGGTGTGTGCTGCCGTGCCGCTGTGAGAGCGGAGCGCTCTGCGACCACGTGAGCGGAGCCTGCACCTGCTCACCTGGGTACGCCGGCACCTTCTGTGAGAAAAGTAAGGTGTTCTTTTTGTTTCTGATAAGTAACTTTATCAATGTGTATGTTCTCTAACATTTTTAAACTTATCATATGAATATTCCATAGTATACATCACTGACATAAAGCCATTTCTTTATTACATGTTGTGAAAATGAGACGTTATGTAAATGTGTGCTCATTTGCATATAAACAAACATGAAAAATGATTGTTTAATTTTGTTGAAATTTTACAGATCAGAAATTGCCAACATTTGCATAATTTTAGGATTAACATTTTCTATATAGAGGAGATGTTGATATTCATATTCATATGTGTACAAACAAATCATTATTCAATGCTAATCATTGTTTAATTCAGAAAAATATCTAAACAGTGGACTAGTGGAAATGGCAAGCCTTATTTATATTTAGGATATTTTTTCGCCCTCTATGTTATTGAAAATAGTGAAAATTGAATTTGACCATAGCATGACAACAGGTTATGACACTGCTGTCTCCATTGACTTAAATGTGTAAGTTGTGCCCTTCCCTTAAGTATAAAACCTTATGAATAGATAGTATTGTGTTATTATTTTTACTAAGGACCCTCCTCTCCTTGACATGTGACATTCTCCTCTTCATACACAAGAGGGCGCTGCAGGACAGTCTTCAGATTATTTGTATTCTTCCATGGCTTGAGTGAATCATCAACCTGAGGTTATGAATCATCAGATTCTCCATGTAATGTCATGTGCAAAACCATTTTGAAACCACACGGATCCCAAGATATAATTAGCATTCGTCATTCTGGGTTCGATGGAGCGTATTTCACAGGCGTAGTCTCTTCCAAGCGTCCTGCCATCGCAAACCCTTCATTTAGCTAATATTCCTCTCATCATTGTGATACATATTGAACGGAAAGACACTCAAACGGTCCAAGAGTCTTGAGGAGGTAATAGATTTGTTCTTGATTATAGTCCTTTGACTTGAAGTGGCCACATGTTATAAGTAAGTGTAAGATTTACTGTAAGGCCCAGAAACCCATACCAGCTCCTAGCATCGTAAATCATGACCGTGTCACACTAGACCAGAGCTTCTCATCGCTAGTCATAACAGTCTAATGGCTTCAGATGCAGACGTCACTCTGATTGGACGTCGCTGTGGAAATAAGGCTATCGTTCTGACCAGATTCTGTTTTTTCAGAAGGCCTTCTCTCCTCAAACAGAGGTGTCCCGTTTCTCAGTCTTCTGCTGGGCCTCTTCCTTCAGGAGAAAGTCAGGAAGACGCCTGTGCTGTGAGAAGGACCAGATCTCATCTGTTTCACAGGTTCTAAAAAGAAATACATGACTTTCCCTTTTAGCGTTTGATTCTAGGTGGGCTGGTATTTAGAATGTTATTCATGGGAATAACGGCAAAACTAGAGCAAATGCAGTTTTATTTAGAAAGCTTTATGCTAACCGTCTGAATCGAGTTTTGTCAGAGGAAACGAGCTATTGTGCTGACGTGGGTCCTTCACACCAGACCACTTCTTCCATTAACGCGTATCGTGCTTCGTTTTCTGGTCCGCAGCTTTGATCTCTGCATCAAAACAGTTTCGGTAAAAAGAAGTCTGGCTTTTAACATCCGCGGTATTGTCGGAGAAACAGCAGTTGTTTTGTTGTTGTTGTTTTGTTGACCTCTTTCAGTGAATGGCACCAGGAAGTTTCTGTTCTCTGTCCTCTCTATCCGCTCTATTTCTATGGCCTGCTCTCCTGGCTGTGTGGTCCCTGGACCTGCTTTATGGGCTGACAGCAGTTGCTCTTACACAACCAGGGATCTGGAAATAATCCTCCTGTCTTAAAGAGCTCATTTAGTCTGGAGATGGAGTCTTTCAGCGATGGCACAGTGTGTGTGTGTGTGTGTGTGTGTGTGTGTGTGTGTGTGTGTGTGTGTGTGTGTGTGTGTGTGTGTGTGTGTGTGTGTGTGTGTGTGTGTGTGGCGGACTGACTCCTCCGTGCCTTACCCATAAACAAAGACTTAGGGAAGAGTCTTCACTTACAAACACTTGCAGACACTGTCCTAATATCTGATGACAGATTGCTGCTCTGTGGTTAATATGGAAACCAGTCGCCCCCTGCTGGCATAAACAAATAATAAACGTTGCAATTCAGAGGTGTCAGAATCTCCCCTGAAGAGTTACTGCAGAGTGTGTGAGCTGTAGTAAACTATGAACGTTTTTAACATGTTGAGGTGATTACTGTTCCCGGGATAAAGACATTATTAAAGGGGAGCATCAGTCATTGGAGAAGTTTCTTTTTTAACATCGTAGATTCCTCGTGTGGACGGTGGCCCGACCCGTGCCAACACGCTGTAACGTCCCAAAGCACTTCTATTTGGAGAATCATGCTGCATTTAACTTGACCAACTCAACAACACATTCGCAGCATTTACGAAGCGCTGCATAAATGAAACGTTGCAAATACAAAACGTTGGAAATTGAAAAACGCAAGAAGCTCAAAACAAAACGGAAATGGGGACACTGAAAAGTGATGCACACAGCTGGGACCGGAGGTTTTGAGCTTCTTGCGTTTTTCAATTTCCAACGTTTTGTATTTGCAACGNGTAAATCATCCAATATTCAATGAAAGTGGTGATCAGCAATTGTATATGTTCAAATGTCTACTGTGAAGGATATCATGAAGCCTTAATGCAATCGAATGTAAAACAAATAAGTTATGATTGATGAAAGTAGTAAATCGGTCAGATTTGACCCAAAGACAACAGGAGGGTTAAACAACACATACAGTTTCAATGACAAATATCAATTTGTTTTCTCCATGTGTAGAAACTTCATACATTCTGTATCCCACAGGACATGAGTGGGAGACGCCTCCTGCTATATTCGTTATTTTTACAATGATAAATAGTGATTGTTCTTACCTGTTGCACAGTCAGGGCCTCTTTTGCCAGCAGGGCAGAGACAGTGTCCCGTCTGGGGGTCACAGTCAGTGTCGGGGGGGCAGGAGCAGAGACCCTCACAGCCTGGACCATGGAGACCTGGGGGACACTCTGTGAACAACAGGGGAATCATAGTGGTAAACTACATTTATACAGCTGTTTCCCAGTCTTTGTGGCAAACTCAAACTAATTTACATAATGCAAGTCAGCATTCACCCATTCACACACATTCATACAGAGGTAGGGGCTGCCATTCAAGGTGGTCCAATCAAACACTTTCGCACATGTGTTAAGTATAGTAATTGCAGTGGCTGGGGATCCAACCACCAACCTTCAGATTGGAGGACAACCACATATCAACAGCTTCTAACTCTCAAATAATCTAATTATATTAAATGCAAATCAGTAAAATGCAAAACCATTCAATTAATTATTCAATTTTGGGGGGGGGAATACAGATTTTTATTTTGTAGTAATATTATTTTATAAATACTACTTTAAATACTACATTTTAATAATTGAAATACTTTATTTTACATATCTTTTGCCCATTGTATTCCATTTTTTCTTGTTTTCTTGCTTTGTATTGGCTTTGTAGATACAGCTGAATGAAAATTTAAAAAACAGTGGACAAAAGTGTGAATATGTTTATATCAGGAAACTCAAAATACGCAAGAAAATAAATATGGCTGGAATAGAAGAACATAAATCTCATATAAAATAATTTCCTTTCTTGCACCTCATTGGATAACAACTCACCATTCTGGCAGAGGTTCCCCATGAAGCCTGGTCTGCACTCACACACTCCGCTCTCCTTATTGCAGGAGGCTCCGTTCTCACAGTCAGGACACGCTGACTGGCACTTCATCCCCCAGAATGCATCAGGGCAGTCTGCGGATCACCCAGTATCTTTCAGATTAACTGAGCAGTAAGCCACTTATGTTAGCTATCCCTCTGTAAAGTCCTAAACCACTTATGACTGAATGTTTTAGTGGAATGTATTTAATGGGGAGTAAACTACAAGGGAATTGGTTTGTTTTGGAGAGGAAACAGATTACTCACACACCCTGGTGGTTGTGTTGGATACTACAACTACTGAGGTCAGTAAGTTCAAACAGCATTTTTCTTTGGTCTACAACAAAAGTGTAAAAAACCTCCACGCAATGTCTTAATAGAAAACAATGAAGGTCTAGGAACAAAATGATGCATACACATATGTTTTATGCAAGTTAAAAAGCTTGCAGAGGTTATTTTGCATATAATTGAGTGTACCTTTACACTCCTAATTTGTCTAAAATGTCCTAAAACTCAACAGAAATGCATTGTAACACAAACAAATTCAACATTAATATACCTTCATGACAGGAGTCCCCAGTCTTCCCTGCAGGACAGATGCATCGTCCGGTTACAGGATCACATGGAGCTCCTCCACAGCCACAGGTCAGACGACAGCTCTCACCATATCTCAGTGATGGGCAGGCTAGAGACACAACAGATGAAAACAGCTTATTTTTATTAAAAGCTACAACAATTGTTGGTCACAATAAAACAAGATGGGATTGCACATGCTTGCCAAACAAAGTGAAATACAAAAAAATACTCAGGTCATGTTCTGTTTATTTATTCAGCCTCTGCCAATCGTCTCTGCAGAGTAGATTACCCCTGTCATGACCTGGCCTGCAACGTAAAACGCATACAATCCAGAAAATGTGGATTTCTTTTTTCATTTGGCTTTGACAAACCCAGCAAGCCTAAACCTGGACGGTTCATTGGTGCTGACACACTGAAACTCTGCTCTGTTATCTTAGTCCAATCCATGGAGACACAAAGTCTTGTTTCCCACTCATACACAATGTTCTGTATCACTTTAGATCACAACAACTTGAAGGCACATATTTGAGGCTGTAAAAAGAACACCTGCATTGACCAGGTGAAATATAAATGAAAGCATTTTTTTATTCACCCATTAAATCCACACGATCCATCAATTGCAGCAGGGAATGAATAGAAAAGGGCTTAATAGAGAAAGATAAAGAATTGCGAAAGGTTGCGACAAAGGTGGAGAAACTCATTCATATCAATTTGTGTTGACATCAGAAAGGACACGCAAGAGTACAAGCATGAAGTATGCAAACAATAACTGCACATGTAGGCACGAGTCAGTGTGCAAACCCACGTACTTCACACACATGCTGACAGTGAGTGATGCTCTGCTATAATAGTGAGCTCCACATGAGAGCGCTGTGGAGTAAAAGGGGAAATCATACATTTAAAGGGGCCCTGTTGTGCTTTTTAAGTTTTCCCTTCCCTGTGGTGTGTTGGTATTGGTTTTTGGGCATGTACTGTAAATTATCTCTCAATGTTAAAGTATAAAAGTTTCTCTCTTCCGTAACACTCCCACTTATTGGCTAGTGCTCCAACAAAATGTACGTGATAGGATAAGGGGCGGGACATCTCTAAGCGGTTGACCAATCCCATCGCATATTGTGTCTGATGATTGTGTTGAGCCGACAGAGAAAACCTTTCCTCACCCAGTTGACATTTTTCTCCGTGAAGACCTGCAGGACATCTCTGACTGCACTCCCCGGTCCGCGGGTCACATGACCCTCCACCTGGACAGTCACATGGCTGCTCACAGCCGGCACCGAAGAACCCTGGCTCACATTCTGCATTGAGACATGAGCACATACACAGTAAAGTGAGATAAAAACAGAGCACCTCAAAGCACATATTTAAGCCTGGACGTAAACTCAAATCTTCAACAATTGCTTTAAAGGGAAATTAAGTTGGATATTTTTTTAAGTGCTTGTACCTTTCTCACACTGTGGTCCGTGGTAGGCGGTCTCACAGAAACAGCTTCCTGTTTTGGGGTCGCAGCCAGAGGAATGTTCTTGAACACAGTCACATTCCCGGGAACAGCCGGCCCCGTGCGTCCACCTGGGACAAGCTGAGAGACGAGATCAGTGTGAAGACAGACCAAGACACAAGATGTTCCCATGTTTATATGGTCAGTAATGGCTGTAAATGAATACATTAAAGGAGCCTTAATATAATGTGTTGTGGTGTTCCCTGTCCTGTTGTTAGTTATATAGGTTTGTGTGCATGTAAATGGTCTGCAAAGGCTAAAATCCCTGTGTTCCCTCCACAGGGAGTTTCTCTCCCACACACTCCCCACCTGCCAGGAACACCTCCATTCGACTACTTTGTTTACTTCTGAAACATAGTGACATCACTGTGTAACACTTGCCCTTCTATTGGCTAGCGCTCAAACACATTGTGCGTGATAGGCTAAGCGGTTGACCAATCACAACAGAGTCGTCCAGCTAACCAATCAGAGTAGACTAACGAAAGAGTTGTGGTACTTGTACTTTACTTGAGTATTTAAATTCTATGTAACTTTAAAGTTCTAGTTAATCACATCTCAGTAGACACACATAGTGTACTTTACATCTTAATTAAAACAATCTGTTGAACTAAAGGATAAAGTGTTCCTCGTGGGTTTAGGAAAGGCTCCCTCTTCTTGAGCTAAAGGAACGCACTTGGATCAGCTGGATAATACATGGCTACAGCTGTAAACTAAAAACAGGGAGTTATGTAACAAAAAGTTGACTTTTTAGAGACAAAATATGATGCATTGCTGTAGATGAACTATCAAATCATATACAAATCTTACATTTGGCACACACATGAACATAAATAGAAACTAAATGCAGCACACACTACAAAAATATCAATAATAAAAGAAAAACACTGAATAAGGGACGATTTTAATGCATAATGAGTACATTTCCTTTGCTTAGGGAAGGTTTTGAATGCAGGACTTTTACTTGTAACAGAGTATTTCTACATTTTGCTACTTTTATTTAAAGGTGACCTATCATGCAAAATGCACTTTTGTACGTCTTTTATACATGAATATGTGTCCCCGGTGTTCCAGGGAACTCACCAAGTGTCAGAAAACACAACCCTCTCTATTTTCCCCCATACCCAAATCTCTTAAAAAGGGGCTGCAACGGATCTGATACAGACTGATCCAGATTTGAACACTTCTATGACGTCACAGAAGTGGCGCTACGGCTATTGGGCCAACTCCACCAATCAGGAGGAGACAGCCACGGACANGGGTCAAATCTGACCGATTTACTACTTTCATCAATCATAACTTATCTGTTTTACATTCGATTGCATTAAGGCTTTATGATATCCCTCACAGTAGACATTTGAACATATTAAATTGCTGATCACCACTTTCACTGAATTTTGGATGATTTAGTCAACTTTGTCAAAAATGACCGCCATAAAGAAAAGGAATTAGTAACCATCCAGGTCAGATATCACACACACACACACACACACACACACACACACACACACACACACACACACACACACACACACAGAACAATTTGACACATTTCCCGCTCTTATGTGCCCATCCCCCCACATGGATCACACCTGTCACACGCAATACATGTTCAGTGTCTATTCTTTGTATATTTACTGCAGTTTTTCATGTACACCACTG